AGGATCTTTGATATTTTTGTATAAATGCCACCAAACTGCATCCCACTTTGCTTCCCTGAATCTTGTTTCAAAGAGTGACAAGCAAGGTAACAGTACAGTCTAAAAATAGTTAGACACTTCTTAAAATAGATATGCGTACTACATACACTTTTTATCTACTGCAGTTATGTTGGTCCTAGAAAAAAATAAAATATATGCAGAAATCTATCTACTATTAAAATCTGAATAGGACCCAAAATTTTCATCTTTAATTTTAGTGTCTATATGAAGCAATTTAAGAATCTATTGCAAGAAGCTTACAACACATCATTTCCAATAGGTAAATGTAAACAGCTAACATGTCTTGTCAATAGAAACGTTTATGATAGCACTTATTCTAATGTTGAGAACATTTTTGTTCAAACAAGCCATGGTCTAATACTTCAGAAAATAAAATATTCTAGAGAATCTCAAAACCTCATTGAGGCAAATATGATGACATTTTGTATACATCCCATATATCCTGGTTAAACTGATCTACATATATACTTACTGGCCACGGAAAGATGTAAATTTGAGCATCCTAGTAACATACAAGCTATCCCAGGCTGTACTCTGTTTGAGTTACACTGCAAAAACTTCACAGACACAAAACCCAGTCAACAAATTGTATTAACATAACATCAATACTTCTGTACAACAAGCCACTAGTCTGTCAAATACAGTCCTTTTTCTTTCTAATTTGATGACCTATTTCAGAGTGTTTTCCTTTATCTCTTTATGCCACACACTTCCCTTCCCTTGTTTACTACAATGACGTTAAAAAAAAAGGAAAAAAACAAAGACTGATTGTTAACCAAGTGACCAATTCCTCACAGTGTGGTGCAGTTGTGGTTTGAAAAAAAATTTCAAAAGTTGGCTTGAAGTCAGCACTGTGTGCTCAAACCAGAACAGTTTTCAATCTGTTATATTACATCCTACCCAGGACCACATAGACAATGAAAGACTTGTGCGGATGCCACTCAAGATGTATAATTGCATATCTACATTCACAGGAAGCAAGAGCTCAAAGAAAGCGTTTTTGTTTTGATAAAAAATAATCAGTGAAGTTGGGGTACTTAAAAATTTTATGTTGTGAGAGAGTTGAGGACAGGGGGAAGGGATTTTTATCAACTTTGATAATACTAAAAAATATTTGCACTAGGGAGAATAATATTTTACTGCCAAAAGGCCCAAAATTGAAAAATATATTTTTAAAATATATTTATGACAACAAACATAATCATCAATTTGTCTACACCTGTCTCTATTCAGCTTCTTTCTATATGATCTTAGTTTTAGACGAACCTTGATACTGTAATGAAAGTCTTTAATCTCTTGCTGCCCTTTACATGTCACCATTCACTAAATGTCATCTAGCACATGGTGTCTCTTTTTCACCAAATGGCACACATTTCACACAATATACCACATTTTACATACTATACCATATTGTACCAGGCCTCACATAATATACTGTATTTCACAGTGTCTCGCTTTATAGGGACTCACAATATTCATGACGTTGAACATGCCACATAATGTCATAGTTTTTTTCATTATATAACAATCATTCATGATGTCACACACTCCTTACAATGTCACATGCTGCTAGTGTTGTTATTTTTCAGGTGACATCACACACATGACATGACATATTTTCAATGATGTCACACTATCACAATTTTATAGCCCAAAATGAGCTTTAAACATTTATACAGCAAACATTTATAATTCATGAAAATTGAAACAGTTTTCACTTTATCGCTAACTTCAGATACACCATTTGTAAAACTGTTATTGTGTAAATAGATAGAGTAAATACGGGAAATTTAGTACTCCAAAAAAGGATTTGCAGAGTCTTGCAGAAGGTATACCTCCATAATAATAAAAAAGCTTAAAACTGCACAAAAAAGCTTAAAACTGCACAAGAAATCTTTTCTTTTTGTTACATAAATGTCTAATACGCTTAAAAGGCTCTGAATTTTACATTTCAAAAAAAGAATATGTGACCAAAAGGCATCAACTTACCTGTCTTCGTTCATGTCTACTGGACCATTCTGTATGTACTGTGACGGAGGTTGCTGATACGCTGTGGGTGGTGTTTGTAGCGCCTGTGGAGCCTGGTATTGTGATCGCTGTATACCTACAATTGACATAATGAACATATGCTAAATAACCAAAAAAAAAATTTAAACTTAAATAATACTATACACAGTTTCTTATCTGTAATTATTTTCACCTCCCAGTCGTTCCATATTTTTTCACCCACTCCTCATCTGAGTCAGGAAGGAGAAGGCCAAAGGAATGGGTGAGGGAAGTTTGGAACAACTGGCAGGTTGAGGGAGAATGTCCTAGAGGTGGCCCTAGAAGCAGAGGGGGCGTGAAGCAGGCCAATAGCTAGTAATTTCAAAGATTTTTTTTTCTGAAAAAGCGGGCCTTTTAACATGAAACCCTCGTGATCATATTTTACCCACAGCAGACCTTTTTCTGGCAAAAAAGCCTTTTGTTAGAGCCTCCCCCGAACCCCCCTGGCTATGAGCCTGCAAAAGATGCCCTAGACATAATGAGATGGAGGAACATAATAGGCACACATCAAGTTCTGGACACAGATGGAAACGATGATAATGAATATGAATTATAAAATCCATTGACAAACTTGTCAATTTCAGAGGTGATTGAAACACAGAATACCATCTTTTTGTCTTTTTGAGAATCTAAAGTGAAAAAAAATTCATAGTTTAAAGATGAGATGCTCTTTAGCTTTTACTTTGTCCTATAAAAACCTAATAAAATGTTGTTCACAGTGTTGAAGTTTAAATGATCAAGTTGTATTAAATGTTCTTAGTTTCACTTACTGTTCATTGTCTCTAGAGCTGTGAGCATTGCATGTGCAAAGTTCTCTGCATCTTCTTTGCTGGCAAAGTTTAGGCCATACACCTGTCTGTTGTCCCGCCATTGATGGAACGTAGGGGTGGCTTGATTGTATTTGAGACCTTTTAGAATGGCACAGTTAATAACCACCTAGAAAAAGAGAACAGATTGAAATGTGTAGTCTTGAGGGCATGTATCTAGGCATGTGACAATGTCTGTTGTCTTTTCTACTGAATGTACGGTATAAGAACATTGTACAAGAAATGGAAGTTAAGTTGATATTATAAATGGTAAATATAACCTCTAACTTTAAACTGCAAAAGAGGTCAAAGAACTCAAATGCAGAAAAAAAGAAAAAAAAAAAGAAAATCACTGACTACACGTAAACACATCATGTGAAAACTCCCTCAAATTAAACAAATAAACAAACTGGCACACAAACCTCATGGTCCTGCATCTTTCTGCCGACCACCCGGAATGTATTGTTGATAGGATGATGGTATATATGGACTTTGGAGATGCCTTGTGACATGCCACTGGGAACCCATTTCTTATTGGCATCATCATAGATCATCACAGAGGCACGTGCGGCCACAATGGAGTGCTCACTGAAATGGAAAGATTCAAATGTAATTTATTCTTTATTTATCATTAGGAAGGGGAATTGCAGGATGGGGCACAGGCAACAGCTTGTCCACTTTCGCGATCTGATCTGCCTGGTGGCTATTCTTCCTGTGCAGCCATCATTTCTCTGGGCTACACCTAAGGAGTGGACAATGACAATGATTAGTATATTCAGTGATTTAGCTACTAGATTGTTGAGATACATAATCAATACCTGCAGATGAACTGAAAAGGCAAAAGGCTTTATAATAACAGCTTATTTTAGAACACTATAGGCTGGCTACTTAGTTGTCAAAATATAGTTTTCAAGTTAATGCATGTACAAACACCACTCCTTCAAGAAATCAGAATGAATTCTATCAAACTATCTCGAAAACAATAAGTGATAAAGTGTTATCTAAAGCACCATCCAAAAGAGAGCACTGTGATATCAACTGTAGCAATTGACAGCAATTTCTTATCATCACAATATTTATCTAGATTTTGGCATATGATAACACAGTGGAGATAAAGCACTTGCCAACAAACCAATGCTAGTGCATTTCTGCTTTAACAGATCTATTTGCTAAATCTAGCCTATTGTTTATTTCTTCGATCATTAACTTGTGGCTACATGTACCTTTCCATGTCCATATGCTAAAACTCTGCTCTGTACCTTGTGATAACCATAAGAAATGCATGTACCCAAGGGGGACAGCGCGCTGTGCCGAAGGTTCGCTGTGCCGAGGGTTCACTGTGCCGACAAAACCGGAAAATTGGTCTAAAATTGGCTAAGTTTTTCCGGAGCCCCAAAATCAAAGGTTCGCTATGCCGATGGTTCGCTGTGCCGAGGGTTCGCTGCGCCGAAAAAGGCTACCCATCACCCATTGTGCTTGTTATGTAACGTGGCGAGCAGTGGCCTTTCTTGAAAATAAACGAGTTTTAAAAGTTCTCTTCTTCCATCCGTACCATTTGGATTTGTTAAAACTGCGCATTGAAGGTTTATCCTTATGGACATAAACATCTTAAATCGCTTTAAATAATCAGTTCTGTAAGTTAATTTATTAATTATTTTTGGCACTATGGGCGTCACCCACATTTAGGAAATTACTGACAAGAAAACATTCTCTAATTATTTTTGGCGAACTTGTTGTAGTTATTGGGTGTGTGTAAAATTAACATCTTTTTAAAAACAATCGGCATAGCGAACCCTCGGTATAGCGAACCTTCGGCTCAGCGAACCCTCGGCATAACGAACCTTCGGCATAGCGAACCCTCGGCACAGCGAACCTTCGGCATAGCGAACCTTCGGCATAGCGAAGCGCACCCCCCATGAAAGCCCATCAGTGGTATTCACAGCTTGTTCAACCACATAAACAGCTAACTCTACATCATATGCATGCGATGCTGTATTTACCAATCATTTCTATGCCACCATTTGGTACAGACAAGATTCATTACAGGTATCAACAATTGGTTTTACTTTGCCTACGAGCAAATACCATTAATTTCAAAGGAACATGTTGCAATTTTGCTTCTGGCAGAGCTGCAGTTAGAGCAACAGAAAGTCCTTCACATTGAAGCTTCTGGCAATATCATATCATAAACCTATATCCAATTTCAGTCAACAATCTCCACTTGTGTTACCAATCATGTCAAACATTATGCAAAAATCATAAATATATTTTTTTCCCAAATTAATCACACACCACATTTCAAAATCATCTGTGTTATTTTGGGCCTCAAATTAAGGTGTTGGACGGAAGCATTTTAATATGGAAAGGTCTGCAATTTTATAAGACTGCATAGTGCAGTACGTGGATCATGTACAAATGGGGCAAAATGTTGAAGATAACCCCATTGGTAATTCCAATATCAATTATAAAAGCCCCTAATTTTTTTCTCCATGTGACAGGAAGAATCATATTTGTTGACTACTGGAACCCATAATTTGGCAAAATGAGATTGTCATCTCAGGTACCACATTCTTTCAGTATAATTGGGCAATTAACTAAGTAGTTTCCTTGCTAAACAATGATACTAAGATAGTTGTCTGCTTGCATGTCTATTAAACCTGTTTAACCTATATTTTTGTATTTCTTTCAATATACCATGCCACTGCAAACTGATAAGGATCAAATATTTGGAATGCATAATTTACTCTGCAGTTTTCAAAATTCTGCTGCAGGCTGTATTCAAACCACTGATGCTCTAAGCACGATGTTATATGACAGACAGAAAGGAAGACTTATGGACTTGTCCATTGAGACGAAAGAAAAATTGATAATACAACACATCTAGAACATTATATCTGAGTTGCCAACTCTGTGTATCAACCCTTATTCTATGCATAATTTAGGATAGATCTATACAATTTGTTAATATCATATGGCCATTATAGATCTACACATCTGAGTACTGAAATATCGGCAACCATTTATAATTGTTTGTCTGATAAGGTAACAGACAAGACTGTCTGGCTGGCAAAGCTAGTGAAACATTATTTGCATGTGGAAGAGAACACTCACACAACAGTCATATGCTATGAAGACACAGACTTCAAAAACAGTACTCTGGCTGCAGTCTGGATTAGGTAATGGGGAATACCAGCCCGCTTGGCGCCAGGTGTCGCTAGTGTGAATTCAGTCCTTCCTAGGTCGCCATGTTGGATATTGTATACGTTGGACTGTGGTACTGGCCTTAATAAACATGCCTCAGTATTGTTGTGTACCTGAATGTCAAAGTCGGCAAGGTGGGCATAATTTTCTTGAGGATTCAGGGCTTCGTTTGAAGTGAAGGGTTGCCCATGTCAACACACCTTCCATGTTAAAGGGTCAGTTACAACTTGACCCAGGAACAGTAATTAGGCCCCTAAAGATAGACGAGTTGCCTCAAAAAGAATACACGTAAAAAGGTTAATTGATCTTGGCAAAACTTATAAAGTTTTGGAAAGAGAGCTCCATAGCAAGAAAGTGCCCCTAGGAAGTATGATTTATCAAAGTGCGTTTTCTTATGTCCGTAATTTCAGAAGAGTTGTCAGTAAATATATATAAGTCCCGGTAGCCTACTACCCGCATAAGGTTGTGTTATTAAGTAATATCCTTTTTTATTGATGTATTGAGCATGACCGGTAATGTTAATTAAATAATTATTTTTATTTAAAATCATTATTCAGTACCTCGTAAGAAT